GTGGGGTGCGGTAGAGGCCCGGGGCGGTGGGACAGACAGGGGTGAGGAGAGCTGGGGGTGGGGGCAGATGGGGACAGTGACCCTGGGGCAGGGGTGACCCCAAGAGACAACCCCAGCTGAGTGGCCACCAGGACCAGCGATCCCAGGGAAGTGTGACCCCAAGGGTCAGGGTGACCCCAGGGGACATCTGCACCAGGCGACCATCCCCACCAGTTGATCGTCCCCATCACCACCAGTTGACTGTCCCCATCCCCATCAGCTGACCACTCCCACCAGCTGGCCATCCCCATCCCTACCATTGACCATCTCTGTCCCTGCCAGTTGACCATCCCCATCCTCAACAGTTCACTAATCTCATCCCCACCAGTTGACTGTCCCCATCTCCACCAGCTGACCATCTCCACCAGTTGACTGTCCCCATCTCTACCAGTTGACAGTCCCCATCCCCACCAGCTGACCATCTCCAGCAATTGACCATCCCTATCAGTTGACCATCCCCACCAGTTGACGAACCCCATCTCCACCAGTTGACCATCCTCATCCCCACCAGATGACCATCCCCACCAGTTGACTATGCCCATCACCACCAGCTGACCATCCTCATCCTGACCAGATGACAACCCCCACCAGTTAACCGTCCCCATCCCCACCCGTCCCCATCCCCACCAGATGACCATCCCCACCAGCTGACTATCCCCATCCCCATCAGATGACCATCATCACCAGTTGACCATCCCCATCACCAGTACTTGACCATCCCGATGCCCACTGGATAACCATCACCACCAGTTGACCATCCCCATCACCAGTAGTTGACCATCCCCATGCCCACTGGATAACCATCACCACCAGCTGACCATCCCCATCCCCACCAGACGACCATCCCCACCAGTTGACCATTCCCATCAGATGACCATTCCCACCAATTGACCATCCCCACCACTACCAGATGAACACCCCCATCCCCACCAGACGACCATCCCCACCAGTTGATTATCCCCATCCCCATCAGATGACCATCACCACCAGTTGACCATCCCCATCACCAGTACTTGACCATCCCCATGCCCACTGGATAACCATCACCACCAGTTGACCATCCCCATCCCCACCAGATGACCATCCCCATCACCAGTACTTGCCCATCCCCCTGCCC